CATCCATACCATCTCATCATCAACCAATCTATCCATCCTCCATACATCCATTCCATCCATCCATCCATCATCCATCCATCCATCCATCAATCCATCCATCATCATCCATCCATCCATCCATCCATCCATCATCCATCCATCCACATCCATCCATCCATCTATCCATTCAATTCCACTATCCATCCATCCATCCATCTATCCATCCATCCATCATCCATCCATCCATCCATCCATCCATCCATCCACCATCCATCCACCATCCAAATCATTCATCCATCCATCCATCATCCATCCATCCATCCATCCATTCCACCATCATCCATGCCATCCATCCATCCATCCATCCATCCATCCATCCATCCATCCATCCATCCATCTCATCCATCCATCCATCCATCCATCCATCCATCCATCCATCATCAATCCATTCATCATCCATCATCCATCCAACAACCATCCATCAATCCATCCATCCATCCACCTCCATCCATCCATCCATCCATCCCACCATACCATTATATCCCATCCATCCTACCATCATCCATGTCATCTATCCATTTGTTCGTCATGCTTCGGCCCATCCATCATCCATCCATCCAACCAATCAAGTCTATCCATCCATCCAATCCATCCATCCATCATCATCCATCCATCCATCCATCCATCCATCATCCATCATCCATCCATCATCCAATCAATCATCCATCCATCCAATCCATCCATCCTCTACTCATCCATCCATCCATCCACCATCCATCCACTCCATCCATCCATCCATCCAGCCATCCATCCATCCATTCACATCCATCCATCCATCCCATCATCCATCCATCCATCCATTCCAATCCATCAATCCGTCCATCCATCCATCCATCCAATCCATCCATCCATCCATCCATCCATCCATTACCTCCATTCATCCATCCATTCCATGCCATCCATCCATCCATCCATTCATCATGCCATCCCTCCATCCATTCCATCCATCATCCCATCCATCCATCCATCCATCCATCCATCCATCATCCATCCATCCAGTCCATCCATCCATCCATCATCCATCCATCCATCATCCATCCATCCATCCATCATCCATTTATCCATCCATCCATCCATCCATCCCAAAAACCCATCTATTCCATCTGTTCCGTCCGTCGGCCATCCATCCATCATGATCCATCCACTCGAATCCGTCCTCATGTCGTCGTCCGTCCGCCCGTCCGTCCATCCACCTATCCACTCTCCGGCCAGCACGCCCGTCTGTCCGTCATCTCCCCTTTCCAGTCATACTTTCATCCATTCACCGTGTCGTCACTACGGCGACGGGGCGGTGTGTGTGTGTGGTGTGAGTGTGTGTGTAAGTGGGTACGCCCGTTGGCTGTGGGGCTTTTCCGCTACTTCAACTTCTTCGATTTTATTAATGCGTGTGTGTTCCACCGCGTTTTAGCATTATCTCGTATGATGTCCAGCGGGGCGATGCAATTTTGGAATTGCAATTTACGGATGCGCGACTGCTGTGATTTAGAATGCAGCGTGTGTCTTGGTTTTTAGCTCTGTGTCGCGTAAGTAATTGCGTAGTGGCTCTGTATGGCAGGTGAGGAAAGGCACAGGGTATATTCATTTGGTGGGGAATCGTAGCAGCAGTTAGCTTATAGACACAATACGCTCCGATGGGTACGTACTATAGACATCCTCGCCAGCTATCGATTTTCGTAGACTTACTGTGCTAGTTACGAGAGTTGTTAAAAGGTCTGCGCAGAAGAAGCTCTCTTCGCTTTAATCAGTGATTACACGAAACAAAGGGCCAACGGTTTATAGTGGCTAGAAGAAAGGCTGCATTGCTTCTACGCAATTTTTATTTCCAATAAAATGGAAGGAGGGCGATAGATATGTAATAATCATGCCTGCAAACGAGATAATATATACTATATATATATATATAATATAATATAGTATACTATATATATATATTACCACTCGTGGAAACTTACTTCGTGGAAGCTTTCTTCTGTTCCGAGCGAGAGTGCTTTTCTATGCTAGGGGTGGCCATCTATAGGATAAGTGTAAAGCAAGTTGCCTCAGCAGACAAAAAATAACAGCCACACGCACGCACGCACAGCCACACGCACGTACAGCCACACGCACGCACAGCCACACGCACGCACGCAGGTGTATATACAAATAAATTAATAAATAAACAAGTATATATATATATACTTATATATAATCGCTAACTTGTACACTTAAACAGTAGCTCATTATCGATATTTCGATTGGTCTCTAGGCTAGAGGCTAGCTATTAGCGATGTAGTTAGAACAACGCACGATTAATTAAACACGATTGTTTTCAAATAGAATTTTAATTGCATTTTTATTGAAAGGGTTTACATACTGTATCTCTCGAAGGCGCTCACGCCCTACCGCGAACTAACAATTCGTAATAATTATATTAGCCCGAGTTATGCCGCAAAGCAGAATAAACAAGAGGGTATTTAACGTA